TGATTAATATATTTTGAATTCTAAAGGACTTTTGTAAATATTACACCACTAAATTTTAAGAAAATACAAACTGAAATAGAAGAACAAAACGAAAACCAACATTCAATGATGTGAATGATAATAAACAAAAAGTCTAAAGTGAAATAAAATCAAATTGTAAAGTTTAATTTAAGTAAAACAAAATAATCGGATTAGTGATTAATTGTACTGATAGTGATAACATTTATTTCAGAAAAGGGACTTAACTAGAGAGCACAATCATGTTCTTGTCAGTTGCGTAAAGAAGGAACACGATTTAAAAATACAAAATATGATAGAAGCTCATAGTTTTATTAAAAAGGAACACAATTTAAAAATTTATCAAATATTATTAGAAAAACAAGAAGCACAGTTAAGAGTTAAAAACTTTTGCCAATTTGACACTGCTTTTAATTTAGCCGTAGATCGAGTATCATCAGCTTCCACCATCGCTTTTAATTCGTCATTGTCGACCAAAGTTTTCAGACAACCACTCGGTTCATTTTTCAGGTCGAAATTTCCAGAACAGAAGCGGGCAAACCAATAACTGGTGGTGCGTTCGTTTGTAACATTCGCTCCGTAAACGTCGTTGATGTTGCGTGCCGCTTGTGCCACGGTGCTGCCGCGACGGTACTCATATTCCATAATTACTCGAATTTTTAACGTATCAAAACGAAAACATAACGCATAACAATAAACAAATGACTAATTTTGAAAAAATAATTCTTTTTTTTTAACCCTTTGCGAATAGATATTTTTAATTTTTGACTATTTTTATTGTATATTTTTTAAATCGGTCTCACGTTGAGAAAAGTAAATAAAATTAATTTGAAATTAGACTTCTTAGCCAAACAACAATTACACCATGTACTTACTGTCGCAGTAGGCTCGGCGGTAAGTAGGTATTTTGGTTGGAGTTTTAGCGGGAATTCAACCAACGACGGATTGCTACTCCTGTATTCTTTACCAACTTCATTGTATAAAGAATGATTTGAAGTAGATTTTTAATACTAAGGCTGAACACACATGTGTCCGCACCGTACGCTCCGTACATGCTACATTTTCGGATAGCCTCACACATTTGTACGTACGCGCCGTACACAATTATTTTGTATTGCCAACAACTTTTATAGCTTTTTTCAAAGACTGGTGTGAAACAGTACAGTGACATTGATCGCTCGGATCGCTATGAAAAAAATTGTTGTAATAGCCTGCTTATTGGCAATGAGAGAGTAAAATAAAATTCAAAGAAAAGAAGATTCTTGATTCATAATATAAATTTAAAAAAGCAGTTGTATTAAGAATATTATACTTTATTTAAATACTTGTTAGATGATGATTTTTCAGATATTTGCATTACATACAAGAAATTTCAGATATTTGCATTACATGCTACATATACTAAAACTATGGAAAACTCAAGATTTAGAAAGCTTATTTAAACTAGAGGAAAGGCTTGTTGTATGTATAAGGTAAGTATATTTTATTGATAATTAAGTAATCAGGTATAATTAGGTTTTTGAATTAAAATAAATTATCAATTTTTATTTTATTTTAATTATTTTTCGCTAAGTATTCATATTGATAATCGATGCAATTTTTTTTTAATTTATGTATTATTAATTACGTATTAATTAAAAGTTATAAAGTGTTGTGTGCCGACGACTCACTGTTGCCTACACAGTCAAGGAAAATGATCTTGAAATAAAATAAAAATATATTTCGAAACGTAAGTCGAAACCACCAGTTTTAGTGGAAAACCCACTAAGTTGGCAACATTAGACAACACTGCGTATCAGCACGCGCCGAACGCGCCGCAATATATGACGTTATCAGCATGCGTCCTTCAATATTCAGATACCTACCACATTTTATAAAATATGTGGTAGGTAAGCGAGGTTTCATATGATTTCATACGATGTTGACAAATGAGCGTTCAGCTTTAAAAGTGGTACAATTTTGCGTATTAAATCTCTGTTAGTGGATACGATGCAGCAAGTGCTCAGGTGGTGATGTGAACCTCAAGATAAGGTATCTTATTGGCTGTCGACTGGCTCAAGATGCCGTTAAAATCTCCCAAAAACTTTACAATGTGACGCATCAACATAATATATATTTTTTTACAGGAAAGGGGGCAAAGGAGCAAGCGGCTGAGGTGGTGGTAAATGACTACCACCGACCATGAACAACTGCAGCACCAGGGGAGTTGCAAATGCGTTGCCGGGCTTTTAAAAAAGAGTAAGCTGTTTTATTGAAAGTTTCTAAGACGTAGCAGTCCGGAAAAATCGCTGGTGGTAGTCGATTCCACAAGGGAGTTGTACGAGGAAGAAAACTTCTTGTAATCGCACGACGGTAGAGTGCCAATAATCCAGATGGTATGAATAGTAACGTGTTTTGTCGCGATGTGTGATGCTGAAATTGAGCGGCTGGAATTAGTCCGAACAATTCCCCAGAGCACTCTCCGTGGTAGAGGCGATATAATACGCAGAGATGCAACATCTCTTCGCAATGCCAGTCAGTCAAGCCGATCAGAAAGAGATCGGTTGCGGATGATTCAAACCGCTTTGGGATAGATGCGATGAAATGGAAGGAGCTGGCATCACCAAAAGGAGTGCCCTAAAACTGAGGAGATACGACAAAGGAATTAATTTTAACGCGCAAACCCGTCTCTTCTGGGGATTGAATTAGATTAGAATTAGTCACCCCCAGTTCGAGACTTGTCTCGACTTCAGACACAAATTTGTTCCGGTACTCGGGGACGTTCTCCCGAGAAATATTGGCACGGCCGGTATATAAAACATCACCAGTGCTGTCGTCCGCATAGCAATGAATGTTACGGTTTGCAATGTATTGATATGCAGAAGAAACAGCGTTGGTGATAGCACACAGCCTTGTGGAACACCAGCATTAATGGACTTGTAATAGGAGCATGCACTGTGTATTGAGATCTTTATGCTCTGATTTGCAAGAAAACTGGTGATCCAATTGCACTATTTTTCGGGAAGATCATAGGAAGAAAGCTTCCAAGAAGCGCTTTGTGAGGGCCTTCGCTGTGTCCAAACTAACGGCCAACGCGTCCCCCTTGGACACTACTGCCTCCGCCCATCTATGAGTAAAGTAACCCAGAAGATCACCAGCTGAGCGACTCCGACAGAAACCATCTGGCGATCACTAATCATCTGATGATCCTCAAGGCACCTCATGAGCTCGTAGTTAATAATTGTTTTCATTATTTTGGAAAACAAGGAGGCGATAGCGATAGGCCTGTAATTGGATGAATCTGAGCAGTTGCCTTTTTTAGGGATCAGATGCACCAAAGCTGTCTTCCATGAGTTCGGGACTACGCCTAGAGAGAAAGAGTACCGGAAAAGACGCGGTAAAACCGATGCCAACTCTGGAACACATGTTCAGCACAATAGGTGGAAGTCCATCAGGCCCACTCGATTTGTGACGTCCAGGGAGTTGAGTGGTTTAGAGGAACAAAAACAGACATAGTGTGAGGAAGTTTTGAAACAATTCATTTTAAGGATATTTTTTTAATATTCTTGACACTGGTAAAAATACAAGAGTACAAGTTCAGTACCAAAAAAATAAAGATCGTTCTTTAAACCCCTAAGAAACAAGAGTAAGCCTGTGAATAGACGTGGAACTAATCTACTGCAATATGTACTTTCTTCCTCATTATCATCAACACATGAAATTTCAGCACTGACCATTAGTCTCTCATGATGTAAAGAGAGTTTGTCTGAATTGTCTTGAGAGACAGATTAAAATTCGCAGTAACAGAAATAATACTGAATGGATTTTGATAAAACTTACAGTATTATAATTAATACTAGCTTTTACACAAATAACTTTTACTATGAAAAAATGACCTTGGTCGTATTCTGGTTTGTGCTCTATAATATTGTCCAGTAAGTTTTATCAAAATCCATTCAGTATTATTTTGTTAGCGAATTGTCTCCAAGACAATTAGACATTTACTCATGAGAGACTAATAGTCAGGCTGAAATTTCATGTGTGTTGGTGAGCATGATGAAACCATGGGTGTCAATGGAATTAAGATGGCCCTAGACCATGGAAATCTATGGAGAAATCTTATGTTCCCCAGCAGACTTAAGATGGACTTTGGTGATGCTAATGAACTTTAATATGGTCATTAAAATCGAAATCGCTCTATGTTATAATGTTTGCTGTATTCTGGTTCTTTTCTCACTCAAAGGTTAAGAGTATTCAAAGAGGAAGCGTTCTTAGTACTATACCACAGAGAGTAGAAATATACGAAATTTATGTTCGTAGCTTTAGTTTTTTTTTATGGTAATAAACATAGAATACTATAATACATATATAATAGAACGGGGGAGTGGGCGGAGCCCGTGTAGCCACCAACATGTTTTCGTTTCCAATTTTCGTGTCAAGCGTGGCTGCATGCAAATTATTTGAAAAATGGCAAATTGTGCAATAATAACGTGTCGAAAGAACAGCGGGAAATGGAATTTAAATAAAGGAGACATATTCTACAATCAAAAGTAAGTCAAAATTATTGTGATAAGAAACAAAAATAAAGAAACATTTAAGTATCGAAAACATTAATCAAAAGGCTAAAATGTGTTTGTAGTAGTGATAACTGATAATACGACGTAATTGCTTGTATGTGTGCTTCCGCCGACGCCAATCCTCCTACAAAGTAAGGTTCACAGCCATTCTATTGTGTATTATAGTATTCTACGGTAATAAATATTATGACAAATCCACTGCAGAATATATTCCATTCCCAGAGATCGCCACAAAGATTGTGTGAAGCATACAAAAAGAACAGTCGTGCACATATTATACGTGTTGACTCTTCATAAGGCCACCTGTATGCCGTTTTTATGGGGAATTAAAATCAAAATAAAGATCCAAATAATAGTTGAGTCGGGCCACTAATCAGCAATAATTTATATACGAACTTAATATCACCACAAAACAAATCCACTTACCGTTTTCGTCTTTGTGCTTGGCTTTAGCTTCCTTCTTGGCTAATTTCTCCTGCTCTTTCTTGTCTAACTTAGCTTGCTTCAACGCTTTACACTTTTCTAACGTGGGCTTGCCTTCCAAGCCCGCCGCGACCAAAAGCTCAAGCATTTTCGCGACCCGCTCCTTGTTTTTTGTGCAACCTGTGAACAATAAGATAAGTTGTAACATAACTTACGTTTATAAAAAAATACTATCTTCATCATCATCATCATCATCATTACAGCCCTTCACAAGTCCACTGCTGAACATAGGCCTCCCCCAAGTAACGCCACAAAGCACGGTCCTGAGCCACCTGCATCCATCGACTTCCTGCATGTCTTACCAGGTCGTCACTCCATCTAGTAGGGGGTCGCCCTACACTACGCCTACCGGTACGAGGCTGCCACTCACCTTCTTCCACATCCTTTCTTCCCCATCGGTTATCGGTTCTTCGAGCTATATGGCCGGCCCATTGCCACTTCAGCTTACTAATCCGTTGGGCTATGTCGGTCACTCTGGTTTTACTGCGGATATCCTCATTTCTGAGTCTATCACGCAGAGAAACTCCGAGCATAGCCCTCTCCATAGCTCGCTTGAGCGACCTTGAGCGTCCTCGTACGGCCAGCAGTGAAGGACCACGTCTCAGATCCGTAAGTCATCACTGGCAACACGCACTGGTTATACACTTTAGTTTTCAGAGATTGAGGTATACCTGACGAGAAGATGTGTCGTAATTTCCCGAACGCTGCCCAGCCGAGTTGAATCCGTCGATTGACCTCTCGGTCGAAGTTGGATTTACCTAGTCGGACTATTAGTCCCAGATAAACGTAATCGTCAACAACTTCGAGCATAGTGCTCCCAACAACTACCGGCATAGGTGTGACATGGACATTAAACATGATCTTTGTTTTGTCCATGTTCATCTTAAGACCTATCCGTCGGGAGCCACCATTGAGGTCATTGAGCATAGTTCTAAGGTCCTCCAGCGATTCTGCCATAAGGACTATATCGTTGGCAAATCGAAGGTGAGTGATGTCCTCGCCATTGATGTTAATAACGTATCCTTTCCAGTCTAGTAGCTTGAAAACGTCTTCCAACGCAGCGGTGAAGAGTTACGAGGGGATATAACATCACCCTGTCTTACACCTCTCTGCAGTTGGATAGGTTTCGAACTCTGGTTCTGTACTCGGATAGCCATCGTAGCCCTACTGTACAAACACTTCAGCACTTCGGTATACCGACATTCAACTTATTACCGCTGAAGGGACTGTAGCACCGCCCAAATTTCGACGGAATCAAAGGCTTTCTCATAGTCCACATATGCCAGGCAAAGTGGTAGATTGTACTCTTCGGTCTTCTGTACAATCTGCCGCAGGGTATGTATGTGGTCTATGGTACTGAAGCCTTTTCGGAAACCGGCTTGTTCGAAGGCTGGAAGTCGTCGAGTCTGCGTGCGAGACGATTCGTAATGACTCTCGAAAATAGCACGTAGACGCGGCTCAGAAGGGAAATCGGTCTGTAGTTCTTCAAGAGAGCGTTGTCGCCTTTCTTAAAGAACAAGACCACCGCGCTTTTGCTCCACGCCTCCGGAGTAGTGCCACCATGGAGGACGGAATTGAAGAGCTTCTGAAGGACTTCAAGTACCGGTGTTCCACCCGCTTTCAGAAGCTCCGCTGTAATTCCATCCTCACCCGGGGCCTTGCCGTTTTTAAGGTGGTGGAGAGCCATTCTAATCTCGCTCAGACTGACGTCCGGGATATTATCGGAATAGTGTCGGATAAGACTTGCTCTTGGATCGTTACTCACACTTGCGTGTGGCTCCAACGATGATGTGTACAGCTGCCCATAGAACCTCTCAATCTCACTCAGAATCTCAGGTGTCCCGGAAACGATGTTGCCACACTCAGTCTCCAGCTTTGACAGTTGGCTCTTTCTGGCAGACAGATCTCTAGCAAAGACTTTGGAGCCCTGGTTCCGCTCGATCGCTTCTTTAATACGAGCAGTATTAAAGTTGTGTAAGTCTCGCCGCATGCATTTGGAGATCTGTCTGTTCAGTTGCCTGTATGCTGTCAAATCTGTTGACGATTGCAGCCTCATCTCCCGTCTAACAGCCATGAGATTAAGAGTGTGATCAGAGAGTTTTCGTGTTCTTCTGCGGCGGGTCTTGCAGAACTTAGCTCCGACCGCATGGACAGATTCCACGAGCGTGTCATTCATATTGTCCACTGCATTGCAATCCTCTAGGCACTGAAAGCGGTTATGTAACTCGAGCTGAAAGGTTTCGGGATTCTGGATTAGAGCACGAGGGGGACGGAGCGTTGACTTCATTAGACGAGACCTCTCCAACTTAACGTTTAGGTTCAGTGTGCCTCTAACCATTCGGTGATCGCTGCCAGTTTTCACCCTTGCGATCACTGAACAGTTGGCGTCTGGTCGTCATAATGAAGTCAATCTCATTTTTTGTCGAACCGTCGGGGCTCGACCAGGTCCACTTCCTGTGGGGCCGCTTCTGGAAGAAAGAGTTCATCATAAAGAGTCCCTCTTTCTCCATAAAGTCGGCCAGCTGCAGGCCCCTTCGGTTCCGTTGCCCTACTCCAAATTTCCCTACCTTCAGCTCACCGCTTTCTCTTGTGCCTAGTTTTGCGTTGAAGTCTCCCATCATCACCGTGTAGTGGGTTTTGGAGGAATGGATGGCTCTGGAAATATCCTCATACATTTCCTCCACCTCCTCATCGGGATGTGCCGAGGTTGGTGCGTAAACCTGTATGACCTTCAGCGAATACCGTTTGGTGATTCTGAGTATCAGGTACGCGACCCTCGTCGACACACTCCCAATCTTTACAACGTTGTTGACGAGAGACTTGTGGACGATAAATCCGACACCTCCTTGGGATAGATGGTCGCCCTCCCGGTGATAGAACAAGTTGCCGGACTCTAGGATTGCCGTGTCCTCCCCCTCTCTTCGGACCTCGGATAATCCAATAATATGCCAGCGCAACTTGTCTACCTCTTCTTCCAGCTCCAGTATCTTCTCGTCAGTCCTCAGGGTGCGTGCGTTATATGTTGCCTGGTCGAGTCGTCGTAGGTGGCAACCGAACCTCCACCGGAGATTCTTAGCACCCCTGCCCCGCCGTTACCATGGTCGCCACCGTAGCCAGGAATAGCGGGGCCGCCGGGGACTGGGGGCCGTTTGTTTGCGTCGTTATTCATGGGGGGATATGTGCCTTAGTTGCCACGCTTGGCGAGCGAGTTGGCAACCGCAGTTTTTTATTATATCACAGTTGTTATCAGGAGGATGCTGCTGCCCATCTCCTGCCTGTCTCCCTCTGTCGCCTCTTACGACACCCACGGGAAGATATGGGGTAGTGGATATTCTCAACCGCCACTACACGGCAAATACTATCTTAATGTATACAAATTCCGGGTCATGTTGTTTACGATGGACTCCTAAACTACTAAAGATTTTAATATACCAGGGTCTTGAGAGATAGGATAGTTTTTTTGCCCATGAGTGACCCACAATTTTTTTCGCGATTTTAAGGATTTTAAATAGGTCATGAGAAAGGGTCGTCGAAAGGGCAGAACAACGTCTGCCGGGCAAGCCAGTAATTTTATAAAACTGAAGTGGGATACAAATATATAGTCCACCAGCAGTCAACTACAAGTAAGTAAGGTTAACAATGCGTCGTCACCTCTGAGGAATATGATGGATTGCCTCACAGCCTATAATTATATTGGTGTAGACACTGTTATTTGGCTGCAGACAGAAAAGATGTACATAGAAAAGAGTACTATCAATTAGTATCTACTATTAAGATGATATCCGCTGCAGGAAATTTGATGAAAAGTTTTTTAACTATCTATAATCGTTGTTTGCTGTGCCAAAAAACAGAGCCAGGCATCCGGGTGTGACAGCTTTAGCTCGGACTGATTATGCCTATGCTACTCAACCAAATCTGCGATTTAAATTTTTTTTTCGTATGTTTTTTTTAATAATAATAATTTATATTAATAAACTATACAAATAATTCCAATAAGTCTTAATTTAAAAATAGTCTACAATAACAGGCACCTGAACTAGGATAAACCTGTATCTCAGGTGTATGTGCTAAAAGATACATTAACAAATATTTTCTGTTTCTTATATAAAATGAATAACATACTAACTAATAAGGGTTATTTCGCTAAAATATATTATCATTAATTTACTTATGATATTAATTTACTTAAAACAATCAGTTAAGTTGATATTAATTTACTTAAAACAATGAGTAATTTACTTATGTTATTAATTTACTTAAAGCAACCTCTCCGTGTCATCGTATGACAAATATTGTAACCACGTTCGAATTACTATTATATTAACAGGAAAGATGATATATTATTTCAAATAAGGATTATGTCCTTTACCGTCGTCGACCGTTATGGTATCACACCTGACGGTACCGTAGACAAAAAGTCATGTTTATCTATTACATCACATAATAATGACGACTATTTTTTGTCGAATTGGGCAAAACTAAGTAAGTAGTTTTTGTCCTGTACACCGAAATTAAGAGCAAACAAGTAAATATAGTGCATATTATAAAATAATTTATTTAGTAAAGAGAAGTAATAACAGTGAATAGGAAGGTGACCGGTACAATTATAAAATATTATAATTAAAATGTTTAATAGTTTTACTTTTAAAATATTTCAAATATGTAAAACGTTACGAAGGCGCTGCTATCGGTAATAGGGCGAAGCTTGAGGCGCGGAGTGAGGGAGCGCGGCGAGAGGTAACGGCATTCTTGGAATTAACAAGTAGTAAGTCTGTTCATTAAATTTGTTTCCTAGATGTCTAATAACAGGGGCATGACTGGACAGTTTTAGTAATTTAGGAAAGTTCTTAGTTTTTGTGATGAGCAATTTACAAAAAAAAACATTTGGCAGTGGTAGACATAGATTGTATCGTAAAAAAATTTGCTCTAGCATTATCCAAGAAAAAAAACAGATGAATATGTTTGTGTAGACTAAATATCCTCTTAATGAAACAATGTGTTATATAATGTCAGGAAGCATAACCTACGGGTCCTTTGCCTGAAACATTTTACTGCTTTCAGGAAAAAAAATACCGACAGTTCAAAAACCTGAGTTTTGGTGGGAACTTGAGCCCCTGCGGATTGCCTTTTATTTTATCGTTTAAATAATGGTATGAAGTGGACTTCGACACTTTTGCGTGTCAATATATTGCAGTGTGATTTTGTGTATTAAATGTCGGCGCATGTAAACTATTGTAAGATATAAATCTTGATTTTTCATGCGCTTAGGGAATCATCAATAACTGTCCCCTGGATTAAGGTGTCGTCAAAATCTCCCGAAAAGTTCGCAATGTGACGCATCAGTATAATTTTGTTTTATGAAAGAATTCAAATCAGACTAGGCTGTATTGTTTAAGACTTTTGGCTACCTTCATTGGCGAATTTTAACAACAACAAGTCACTCACCTTCAACCAGTTTCTTGTAATCAAATCTTATACCGGCGGCCTTGCAGAATTTCTTCATGTCGGTTATTCCAGGCTGCCGTAACTCTGGAGGGACTGGGGGTCGACCCCGTCGCCCTGGCGTTCCCGGTGTACCTGGTGCTCGTGGACTAGAGTTCTTTGAGCCCTTCGGTCGTCCCGGACCACGTTTAAGTGGTTGATCCTGAAATAGAACAGAATTAGGGAATTAAAATTATTATCATCCATTAATTTCTTTAATATTATAAGAACCCTTTTTTTACAAACTTAGATTTATTCTGTTTATTTAGCTTAATAAAAACTTCCTCCATATTTTTTTTTCAAAAGTATCGTATACAGAACATGAGGGTCTGTAGACGCTCACAACAATGAGGTGCTCAAATTCAACACATGCCATTTCTACAGTTCGCTCAACAGAGAGGCTCACAATATCTTTACGTTTTTTACATGATAATAATTTACTAGCTAAAATTAAGGAGCCACCTCTTTAAAACCATTTATCTATTGAAAGGACCAGCTGGTGATTACTGAAGTTAAACATTAATTTATAAGCTTTTAACCAGTGTTCAGTAATACATAAATATGAATATTGCTGCTATTTAAGAGTAATTCAATTTCCAGCTCTTTGACTATCATACCTTGTATATTTTGATGCACCAGATGTAAACAATCTTTATTATCATTTTGTAGAGTCATACAATAATTGTAAATATTAAGAATTTGTAAGCTCTACATTCCAAATTATTTAAATTATTATAACTGATAGATTACCGATCGCGCGACTCCACTATCCCCCGCGCATGCGCGAAAACATAGAGTAGCGCACATTTTTTGTTTGGATCAGCTTCTCTAGTACGTAGTAACGTAGTCGTAGACCATATTTTGTAATAACACAGATAATAACTATTTTATTTCCTGAAGAGGTATTTGTGACCCGAATAACAAAGTACTTACGTCATCACTCTCTTCTGACCCGCTCCCTGATGAGCCCGAAGAGTCGTCTGATGATGATGAATCCACAGTTGTCACCTGCTGAGTACAAACAATAATGTAGAATAGTACAAACAACTGTTGACCGTGTAATTATGGTGTAAAAATGTTTACCCGTGGGTTTATATTGTACCTAGCGGCATTTTCCGACGTACCTAGTGGCACTTTGCGACGTACCACCTATCCCCATAGAATACTATAATACACAATAGAATGACTGTCAACCTTATTTTGTACGAGGATGGCCTCGTCGGGAGCACACATACAAGCAATTACCTTGTATTATTACTACTACAAACCCGATTCGCTGTGTTGATAGACTGAGCGAATTTACACATTTTAGACTTTTGATTTGTGGGATTTGTGGGGGTACACATGATCATCATTAAAAAAAACGTTTAAATTTTAGTACATATTTATTTGTAAATAGTGTGCAAACTAATCGTAAATACAATGGCAGTAAGTATCATGTTCTTCTTATTGTAAATAAAAAGTTGTTGAACATGTTTAACATGCGTACCATCATATTAGTCTGCGCATTTAAGAAAACTGTAGTATATAATGGTATCACCGCTAGGGATGTAGTCTTGTTTAGTGACTAACCGGTAACCGATAAGCACCGGTAAAACTTGATTGTATTTATTTTGAATAATAAAATTTATTCAGTTATGGAATAGTAACATTTATTAAAAGCTAGCGGTTCGTATGCGTAGTACCTAGCTCCACGTGGCGGTTAGTGTGTAAAGTACTTAGCGATTAGTGTGCGACTTGCTTAGCTACACTTAGCGGTTAGTGTGTGACGTACTTAGCCCCACTTGCGGTCACTTTTCAACGTACCTCACTGGAGACAATCCCGCGCGACTGCAACTTAGCGGCGGCCAATTTCGCGGCGGCGGCTTTCTGCGCGGCGATTTGAGCGGCATGGGCCGCCAAGCGTTCGCGTTCGGCGTTCGCATCGTAGTAGTTGTACAGCACTTCTAAAGGCACCGGAACATCGCCGAAGTACACCTCGTTCGGAATGTGAGAAGAGTCCAAACAGTCGTCGCTCCATCGCCTGAAAACATCAAACCCTGTTCAGCATAAAAACATCCTGCCGTTACACCGATAAAACGAAAACTTGGACATGGTAGCGAAATATATAGGTAGACAACTCTTAATGAACTACTAATAAGTACCTACTGCAACCTTTGGATACCAGTGTCCAAGTTTAAACAAATATAGTGCATTGTCAACTTTGACAATGAAGACGAGAATGGGTGTATCCTTAATGATGAAGTGTTGAGTCTAAAGAGATGGAAGGAATATTTTGAAAGCGTATTTATGAGTGAGGAGAAGTGTGAACTAAATGAAATAGAAATTCCGAAATAAGATGAAAGAGATAGGGAGATAAGTATAGATGAAATAATGAAAGCAATGAAAAGCATGAAAGTAGGTAAGGCAGCCGGATATGATAAGAGTTTCACTCGAAATATTAAGGGCTGGAGAGGACGTGGTGGCAGGCCTGCTGTACACCTTATTTAATTTATGTTGGGAACTAAAGCGGGTACCGGGAGACTGGTGCAAAGCCGTGATAGTCCCAATATATAAGGGAAAAGGATCACAGCAGGACTGTAAAAACTACCGTGGTATCAGCCTCTTAGCATTGTGGGAAAACTGTATGCTAAGGTACTAATTGAAAGAGTTATGAAAGAAACTGATGAAAAAATTTGGGATGTGCAAGCGGGATTTAGAAAGGGAATGGGGTGTACAGATCGTCTTTTCCATGCGCATGATCGCGGAGAAGTTTTTGGCGAAACACCAAAAAGTTTTTTGTGCGTTCATGGACTTGGAAAATGCTTATGACAGAGTGGACAGGGATGTGTTATGGCAAACGCTGAACGCATTTAGGTTGAGCGCTGGTTTGATACAGGCATTAAAGTCTCTGTATAGGGACTCCAGTGCTTTTGTTAGAATCAACGGGGTCTACTCGGACTGGTTTGGCATCCATAAAGGTGTCAGACAGGGCTGTATAGCTTCCCCGTGGTTGTTCAACCTATTTATGGACAGCTGTTTGGAAAATTTGAAAGATGAAGAATGCGGTTTAAGAATGGGTGAGTTAACCATCAAATGCCTTTTGTACGCCAATGATCAAGTCATACTTGCGTCGTCGTCGGCCGAGTTGCAAATGATGGTTACATTAATGAACAGGTCATTAAAAGAAAGGGGAATGAAAGTGAACGCAAGTAAGACGAAAGTGATGGTTTTTGAAAGAGAAGAAAGCAAAACGGTATGTGAAATAAGAATAGAAGGAGAGTTAATTGAGCAAGTGGATGAGTTCGTATATTTGGGATGTGTATTCAGCAGGGATGGGAGATATAATAAGGATATTGAGCGACGAGTGAATGCAGGAAATAAAGTAAATGGGGCTCTACCCTCTATTGTGAAAAGTCAGAATGTGTCAAAAAAGGCACGTATGGCAATTCACAGTGCTGTATTAGTCCCTATTTTAACGTATGGTAGTGAAAGTTGGGCGTGGCAGAAGAAGCACGAGAGTAGAATAAATGCAGTAGAAATGCGGTCGCTTAGGAGTATGTTAGGGCTGAATCTGAGTGACAGGGTGAGAAACTGTGTGATAAAAGAAGAGTGTGGTTTGCAAGATGATACGGTGACCAGGATTAAGAAAGGAATGCTTCGGTGGTTTGGTCATGTAGAAAGAATGAATGCGGAAAGACTGACAAAGCAGATATATGTTGCGGAAGTGAATGGAAGAGTTGGAAAGGGACGTCTTAGGCGGAAGTTTGTCGACCAAATTGGCGATATACTAAAAATGGGCCAAATTAAGAGTACCCTTAACCGACGAGCATGTACGCGTAGATATATGGATGTGGAAGAGGCGAGAAAGGTATGTCAGGATCGTGCTAAATGGAAGTCTGTAGTCTCTGCCTACCCCTCTGGGTGACAGGCGTGATGTTTATGTTTATGTATGTATGTCAACTTTGAGGACCAGGATGAAATGAATAAAAAAAAAAAAACAATATATAACAACTATTATAATTTATCGGTAAATTCCGCAATTTACGCTTAAATTTACAATTTCGGACACATATAAGCAATGTGTCCGAAATTGTAAATTAGGGGATCTTTGCCATATTTGCTACGCTTGTCAGGTGGGTGTTTGCAACCGCGTGTTTTTATAATTTAAAGTTGCTATCAGGAATATGCAACTAGCTGCCCGTCTCTTATGTCAGTTTCCCTCTGTCGTCTCTTACGACACTATCGGGATTATATGGGACAGTGAATTCTCTTGCGCAGTCACTACATTATTACAACTTGCTATAACTAGTATGTCCAATATACTCAAAGGGAATACCCTATAGTGGTATCCGATTCGATCGCATCGCCCGATCTGATGACGTCATTCCAATTCATCTAGGATTTTTGGGGTTCTTCCCGATTCGGACGTTTCGATGCGGACAGGTGTGCGAGATTTCATATGAATTCATATAAAGAAAGTTAAAATTCATTTCGTTCGACGCGTTTGGCTCGAATAGTAAGCGTTCACCTTAAGGCGAATACCCCCACTCTGAGGCAATCTTTGCAGGAGGCTTATGTTCAGCAGTGGACTTGTGCTGTAAGGAGTGTATGAATGAATGAATGATTCGCGATCGCTTGCAGCCGAAGAAACACGAGCGTCCTAAGGGCTCGACCAACTAGCCGAAGCCTCCGGGCACGCCCACTCGCGGCGTGGTCCCAGCGTTGGGCGCGATCAGCGAAATTCTTTCCGTATTTCATAAAAAATTACATTTGATAAAGTTGTATTACAGTGTAACTTACACATATTTAATATTATAAAAATGTAAAATATAAAATAAACGCGTTTTTGCTTTAGACATACACTCGGAAGATTTCACAATAAATTCGCAGGTTATTTAGTCAATAAGTCAGTAATTATTAATTTAAATTATTAATATTAAATAGTAAATGAAAAAAAATTTGTTGGTAACATTTTAAAATTTAATGGTGAATTTCTACTTTATGTTAAAACGTAGTGATTATATACTCCTTGATCTGTGTGATTGCTTGACTATACTATACTACGAGGGTGACACTGAAAGTTCTTAGAAAATTAAAAATTAACAAACTAGAAAGTTATTTGTTTTATTATATTTTTTCAAAATAGTTTCCATTTACATCAATACATCGCTGCATCCGATGGAACCACTGAGGAAAGCACTTTGCCCACTCGTAGCCACTGCTTCCTCGGCGTCTATAAAACGTTTTCCTCGAAGTTTTTCTTTTATTTTCGGAAATAAATAGAGTTTTGGCGGGAGCTTGGCCGTCGACGGATTGTTGCTGTTTTATCGTTAAAATAATGGTTTGAAGTGTATTTTAATTCGTAAAAGTGATGCGATTTTGTGAATCAAGTGTCTGCGCGTGTAAACTGTTAGAGAAAACGAAGAAACAAGTGCTTCGATGTTGATATATACTTCAAGTTATTATGATCGCTTAGCCGCTTTATGAACTTGAGTGACTATCGTCATCAACTATCCGCTGGGTCGAGCTGTCGTCAAAATCTCCCAAAAACCTCACAATGTGGCGTATCAGCATATTGTGAAAAAAAATCTATAAAAATGAAATCTCGAAAGAAATGATAGGTTCAAAAGGGCTAGAACCTAGAGCCGTAAAACCAGTTAAATAAAAAATAAAAATTTGGAAATAAACAAAAATCGCAAGGTGCAATGTCAGGGCTATAGGGCGGGTGACCCAGTAATACCACGTCTGACGTCGCCAAGTAGTCGATTGTTTGCTTGGCAGTGTGAGACGTGGTGTTGTCGTGGTAAAGGAGGATTCTACTGCGAGGTCGTTTCTCAAGAACTTTTTACAAGACAAGTGGCAAACAATTGTTAGTGTACCACTCTGCAGTAACCGTTTTTTGATCTTTTAAAACAATTGTTGCGTAATAACCTGTCCTTCCGAAGAAAAAGGCCACCATCTTTTTTCCCACACTTCGACTTCTCTTCACTGTAGTTGGCAACTCCCCGAAAGGAAACACCCAGACAGTAGACTGTCTATTAGTTTCAGGATCATAACAATAAATCTAGCTTTCGTCACCCGTAAGTATGTCGAACACAGCATTTGAGTCACCTCCAATAAATCTTTGAACCATTTCACGACACCAATCAACACGACGGAGTTTTTGGGCATCAGTCAAATTGAGGTATCCACCATGTAAGCTTTCTGAAGGCTAAATGTTCATGGAGGATTTGTGCACTTGACTTATACCGATGCCTAAGCTTGTTCGAATCTGTTGATAAGTTACTCGTCTCTATTATACGCAGCACAACACTAATATTGTCTTCAGTCGTCGCCGTAGAAGCCCGCCCTCACGCAGATTTCGGTGAGATTAGGGCGACCACGTTTAAACTCATTAAACTAGTTGTAAACAGTGGCACAAGATGGGACTCCATCGTGATAGGCCAATCGAAGTCTATTATAACTTTCTTGTTGATTTAAATGACATTGAAAGTCAAAAAAATCATACGAAAATTTTCTCGCGTCAAATTCATGCTGACGGGACACAGATTTTCAATTTGCCGCCAAATTGTAAGCAAATGACAAATTAATAAAATACATACACAATAATATTGGTAAAGAATTTCATTTTCGAAATTTGGACTTTTTTTTTACTATATCGTTTACAAGTGGCCAGTTCTAAAAATTTTCAGTGTCGCTCTCGTATGTGTTCGATATATAGAAGTCTATGGTTTGACATTTTTATGATAAAATTTTGAGACTATACTGAAAATTGACGAAAAGGCAATTGAGCGCGCTAGTTATACATTGAAATAATGATAACCATATTTATTTATAATTATTCAACAAGCAGTTTATACCCATTATGTAGGTTGTTAGTCAGAAGCGTGATTATGATTTTGTATATTTACGCGAACATTACTTATTTAAATAAAACTAATTTTTTTAAGGATTTTGTCGCATATATTAAATTATTTTATATTCCCGACGTCTCGAGTACTTTACAGCATCCATAATCACGGAGGGGATTTACCAGTCACTCACCAATCTGTATCTAATTAGTACCTATTACTCATACTCCAGTAAAAACCAGTTTTATTTAAAAGTTAAGCGTGGTTGTGACGTACCTCTTGAACTGTATCCCGGAGAAGTCCTTCCTGCTGGGCCTCACGGCGTACTGGTAGTGTGGCGCGCGCGGGCGCGGCGCAAGACCGGGCGTGCGCGGCACGGGCGTCCCCGGGCCCGCGCCGCGCAGCGGGCTCACGCCCGGCGCCGGCGCCACCCCGCGAACGGGCGTACCCGGGGGCTTCGGCTTGTTGGTCGAGCCTTTAGGACGCCCGCGTTTCTTCGGCTGCAAGCGATCGTGAATCATTCATTCATTCATATAATCGTTACAGCACAAGTCCACTGCTGAACATAAGCCTCCAGCAAAGATTGCCTCAGAGTGGTGGTATTCGCCTTAAACGCACACTACTCGAGCCTAACGCGTTCAACGAAAGGAATTTTAATATTCTTTATATGAAATCATCCGAACACCTTCCCTCATCGAAATGTCCGAATCTGAAAGAACCCCAGAAATCCCAGACGAATTGGGATGATGTCATCAGATTCAGCGCGGGCGATGCGATCGAATCAACCGATGCGCTTGCATTTTGACAGTTGCGTGCGACAAAGCAACATGCGAGTACCTAATTCTTAATTAAAAAAAAGAGTGATTCTAATCTAATTTTATTAGTACTTTCTTCATGTTCCATTAATACAGTACTGACAATAAGAAGTTTTCGTCAAGATCCATGACAATTAACATATAATTGCAGTACGACAGGTGTAAAGGAAATGGAAACTTTTTCTTTTAGTGCGAACATGTGTGTGAGGCCTCCTTGACTTCAATTCGTTCGGCTAGGATAAGCTTGTATTCACCTTAAGTTAACGCTTGACAGGCGAATCACCAACCACAATTGTATATTTTCTCTTAGAAAAATACTGCAATCCATCCCCTAACATTCAAATTTCCCTGTACTTATAGTAGTGTAGTAGCTATTCTAGATAGATCAACATGGCTGAAGTCTATGTCCATTACATTTGATAGACTGTATAAAGTTGCATTGCAAATTATATTGTACCCTTGTAAAATTGAAATTCCGCTCGCGACTAAAACTGCTCGAGGCAAGCGGAGTAATAAGACCAAGGCGACCACTGTCACGCTATCCGTAAATTTTTGCATCTCTTTTATCCGAGATACAAATTAGAACACTCCTTTGTGCCCCGAGCTGGAGTTTGCGCATATGCCAGAGGATATCTGTTTTCGACGCCTCAGCAATCTTGACAGTACGGACCTGTTCATCCTATAGCTGCGCGTAGACAACGACGACCATCCCCACATTTACGGGTGCCTCTATAGGTCCCATAGCGGTAATGCCGAAACAGACCGACTCATCGAACTCGTTCAAATGGCTACAGATTCCATGCTAAAGCAGATCAAATTCGCAGAGATTGTGATCCTTGGCGACGCCCACCACGCCGAACGGCTTGGTTCACGTTTAACGGATCATGCGGGAAGATCTGTTTATGACTTTGCCTTGGCATATAGTCTTACACAGCTGGTTACTTCACCTATGCGGATTCCAGATGCGGAGGATAATGTACCTTCCCTGTTAGACCCTCTGCTGACCTCTCATCCGGACGGATATCGTGTTTCAGTCGGACCATTGTCTTGTCTGGAGTGTGGTGCCACTCACACTAACGTCGCGGTTGCATTCTGCAGGCTGCCGCCGTGTTTGGTACTATAGGTCAGCCGATTGGGATGGGATGCGATCTTTTTTTGCATCCTACCTTTGGGGGCGGGTTTGCTTTTTTCCGGACAATCCCAGCGTTGTTGCTGATTCTGACGCTCATGTGGTACTTCAGGCTATGGAACTTTTTATTCCATCCTCTGTGGTGCCCATCGGAGGCAGATCCCAGCCATGATTTGGTTGCTCCTGTAAAATAGCATTACGCTATAAGCATGAGTGCTACCGGGCCTGGGCTGACGCATCAACGTCTCTGGTTGTAAACACCAGTGCTCTTAAAAAGAAGTATAATTCCGCCTCCAGGTACTTCAAAAAAAAAAAAAAACATTGCCAAGGCAAGTACTGAGCACATCGGCGTAATTGGCGAGAAGCTAGATCGCCTCCGGGAACCCGTGCATTGTGGTCCCTCGCCAAGGCTGTTCAAGAGAACTTCTGTCAGCCATCTCTTCCATGACGCAAAGCAGAAAATTGATCTGTTAGGCTCTCTCTTCGCGTCCAACTCGACTCTCGATGACGTGGGAAGCACACCGCCGACCATCCCGCGGCGTTAGTGCTCCATGCTCGATGTGCGGTTTACACAGCACTCGGTTCGCAAAGCAAGTCGAGAGGGCCTGATGGAGTGCCTCCCATTGTGCTGAAGACGTGTGCACCGGAGTTGGCACCGGTTTTAGCTCTTTTCCGGTACTCCTACTCCCAAAGCGTAGTCCCAAATTCATGGAACATCGCTTGCAACTTTACAAAGCGCAAGTTCGACCTCACATGGAATATTGCTCTCATCTCTGGGCCGGGGCTCCCCAGTGCCAGCTCCTTCCACTTGACTGCACCCAGCGAGAGCGGCTCGCATCGACGACCGAGTTCTCTCCGATCGGCTCGATTCACTGGCGCTACATAGAGATGTTGCATCCTTTTGCATTTTCTATCTCATCTACCTCGGATGTTTAGTTGCTCGCATTAAATCCAGCCGCCAATTTTCACGAACGCACATCGCGTCAAAATTTACTATACCATCTGGATGATTGGCGGTTCACCAGTGTGCGTTTTACTAGGAGTTTTCTTCCTCGTACAACTTCTCTGTGGAATTGATAACCACCGGCAATTTTTCCGAACCAATATGACTTAAGGACCTTCAAGAAAAGAGTTTACTCCTTTTTAAAAGTCTGGCAACACACTTGCAACTCCCCTGGTCCCATGGTGATGGTTCATCAGGTGAGCCCCATGCCCGTTTGCCCCCTGTTCTATATTATAGCTTCTATATTGAGCAAATTAATCGCACAAACGACCGCAAAGCAGTAGTGATACAATTAGCCCACAAAAAAAAGGTTGATAATGAACCCAGGACAATAAATAATCCCAGTTACCTCTAGACCAGGCGTAAGTATTTTCCCAGGTGTCGCTCCAGGTTTTGACGCTTCGGGACTGCTGAACAGTTTCTTTTCTTCTTCACTGTAAATAAAAGCAAATATAATTACCATTATATTCTAAATTGTTGGTAAATACACAATAGGAATGAAGAAGAAATAAAATATTAAATGGATTTGGCATACGTCAGATGTTTTCTTTTAACAATTTTCGTTTCGCGCATTCTATGTTAACCAGGTTGAAGATGGCTTTACGGACATTCGCGCATATACTGACGCCTGTCGATAGAGATGTGCCATTTCATATTCACTACTAAGTTTGCTTAATTGATTTGCGATTATAGAATAAATTGAAAAATATTATTATAATGAAATAAGTAATATTATATTATAAAAGTATCTAATAAGGAACTACAAAAATTAACAGTTTAAATATAAAATAAATACACAATATTAACGGGGAAAACATATTCTTTCAGTAACCCCAAAATGATATAACAACATTTTTCAATAAAGTCTTTAATGCACATCGTTATAATAACTGCATTTAAAACGCCATGTTGCATTTACTCACCAATAAAACACAAAAAATATAAAATAAAATCGAATCATAATCGATAACAATAATCATCGATTATTCACGTAATCGTAACCGTGCAATATATCTATGTGCAATATATATACTCATTTTGTTCTTAAAAACTATTCTGCGCAGCCACTCGCGCCTAACTTCAGCCTGGCCAAGATAGAACGCGCGTACTTTACTTCAAATACGCACTATACAGTTGCGGTAGCCCGTATTACTGGCAGTCATACGAATGGCGTCAATACGGAGGCAAATATATATGTAAAAGTTATTTTAATTCGCTCTCCGATGCGGCTGCCCTTAAACCGTTTCGATCAGGGGCTTGACTTTCGGATAGACGTAACAAAGGAAGTGAATGAAATGCGCACCTTTTGTCAATTGGTTTGGCTACAATATCCGCCGGTCGTGATATGTCACCCGGGACCTTTTCCGTTGCATCCAATTGCACTGCTTCTGCATTATATAAAAAAAAAACATTGAAAACTTGTGCTTACAATTTCTACAAAATGACTCTTGTGGCTATTACTAAGAAATGGAGAATTATTTAAGCCGAGAACTGCGGTTGTCAACCCGCCTACTAAGCGTGGCAACTATGGCAAAACCCCTCCATGAGGCAATCTATGGGGAAGTCTTTGTTCAACAGTGGACTTTTGTATGGATGAATAGACGGATGAATCACAGTAAACTTTCTAACCAGCTCTTATGTGTTTTCTTTATTGTCTCAAGTAAATGTTTAAAAATAATTGATAAAATATCTTAAATTAATAAAATTTGTATGGAATGCCACACAGCCTGTAATTATATTGGCTTTCTATATCTTTGTAACAGAAACAGAGTCCTACCACTTAGTTAAAGTAAAACAGCCTATATACGTGTCCCACTGCTGGGCAAAGACCTCCCCTCAATTCTGAGAGGGTTTTGCAGGGCAAGGAAGTGTTCACCGCGAGGGTGCCCCAATTCGTGTTGGCGAACTTCACATGTCTTAGAAATATTTTTTGTTGTTTTATTTATCAGATATGCAGGTTTCCTCATGATGTTTCCTTCACCTGAAAAATCAGCACTTAAAAATTTCATTGGTGTCGGAAATTTACAGCGAGCGCTAACTATCTGAGCTACCACAGCTCTACCTACATGAGAGAAATAAATAGGTACATTTCACTCACTGTGGGAGCTATGCATAATGTGCCATGTAGGCTGACCGCATGCATGTGTTTGTTGTATCCTATACCTTTAAACGAGCAATTCTTGTATATTTTATATAATCGGAATCTCGGAAACGGCTCCAACGATTTTCATAAAATTTAGTGTGCAGAGAGTTTCGGGGGCAATAAATCGATCTAGCTAGGATTTATTTTTAGAAAATGTCCCTTTGTTCGTGTTTTCAGGTAATAAAAAAAAACTGCTACAATATAAGAAGGTAAATTTTGACAGATTACTAACGATCGTAATAGTTCAGATGGGATGTTGTTCGGGCGTGATATCGGTGTTCCGTGGTTCGCGTCCCGTCTTGAGTCCGACTTTTTTTCCTTTTTTTTTCAAGTTCCCTTCTTTTGTGAGAAAATCTATTATTTCGAGCCCTTTTTTAGTATTTTTTTAAAAATACGAAAATTTTAATTAATCTAATTGCACTCCTGATTTTTTATTCAAATAACCAGTTCAGTTTTTTCTATTATGTCAATAAGATCAAAAACTATTATTCATGTACTTTGTATATAAATGTAACTTAAAAAAAACCGAGCAAAGCTCGGTCATCCGGGTACTAAACAGATAAACTTACCAATTGGTTTATCCCCAGGTATGCTCTCAGAAACGAGGGTAGGTTGAGTTTCATCTGTAAAACACAAAAAAATATTGATTTTTATTTACTTTTTATATATTTATACCAGGAGGAAAGAACAATTACAGGATTTTACAGGACCAGAATATTCAAATGTAACTGAAAATTATTATCTTTTTTTCTTAAAAACATCTACGACCTTACTCATAAAAATTATTGTTTAAATGTTAATTTAAGTATTGCTTAAAAAAATTCTCTCTCTCTCTCTTCAGTAAACGCAAATAAAAAAAGAAAGTGAAGGACACAATTCATACTTAAGCAAGCAATAATCAACAATTATAAGTAAAGCCACCAATATATATAATATATAACAAAAAACTTCTACTAGTAACTCATTCCCCTTTTGGTGAGTGACATTTTAGAAATGTTGCTAACTTAACATTTTTAGTACCAGGATAAGCATCTCGCGACAATTTAGATGTCGAGATCTCGAATGTAGTGATTCTAATGGAATCAATATACAACTTGTTGTGGAGAATATTTCAATCCTCACAAAAAAAAACTATTAGTTACATAGTCAAAAAAGAATAAACGACGTTAGCCTTATCGTCAAAGGTGCGAATAGGCGAAATCACTATTCCACCAATATCTTAAACCACCCCCAATACAAAAGCTCACTTGGAGTGTTAAGTAGGAGTAAAAGTAATGGTATTAGTGGTACTAGCATTCTCGTCTTTAGAAACAGCAGACTTACCCTTATTTTGCAATTCTGGTGGTTTCTGCACCACATCAAGTGGTTTTTGGGAAATATCTGAAAATTAATATTATAAATATTATTTTTATCTATAGAAGTTAAACAGCTAATACTAAAGTAGTTTTTTTTTCTGATTATTCCTAAATCAGCAATAATTTACCATGTGCCTTGTCAATATCGGGTCTGTGAGCTAAGTCGTCAGGCTTAAATATATCCGTTTTTATTTTTATTTTCGGCTGATCTAGGTCACCACCCTGTAATTAAAAACAAAATTACGCTATATTAAACCTAAAAAAAATAAAAATTACCAATATATTCAATGTAAACCTAAAGGATGTTCAAGATGTTATCTTTTTATACCATTAAACATAACAACGCTGGTCTACAAGATTGCTGTCTTAAAATTATAAAGTTTAAATTGGAAAAGCCAGACCTTGCTCCTACCCTTTTTTTTTTTCAAAATATTGGTATTTTTTACAGGGAATGTTTTTAACTCCAAGGAAGTCTAAAATTGCCTTTAAAGAAATTATAACCCTAGTATATAAGGATGTTTTTACAAACGTAATTGCAGCGGATAGCGGATTGTATACCGCCGCCGTCACCGGGACGTCAACGAGAACGAGATTATTTCTGGCAGAGATCAAGATGACGTGACGGCGATCGTTTGTCCACCGCGACGATCTCGGTGGTTCAGTCAGTTTGTTGTAGCTGTCAACCATGGTAGTGCGTAGAAGTTAAACTAGGGAATGGCTAGTCAATTCACACCTATAAATGTCAACACTTGGTCACTGTCGGTGCCCAATTTTTGCGTCAGGCATTGACGGGTGCGATTTATTGCAAAAATGCTGATTTATGCGATAATTACGTTACGGAAAAAACAGCTGGATGTGATATTTGAATGAAAGTGGTATATCCTTTCACCAGTAAGTAATTATATTTAAGTATTTATATTTTGTGAATATTAGAATCGAAAATAAAGAAATATTGATGTGTAAAAACAACAGTACAGGAATGTAACTAAGTTGTTCTGATACCGATACAAGTTTTACCGGTTAACCCGATAACCGGTAAATCACTAACCAAGACTACATCCCTAGCTGTGATAACATTACGTAATACAATTTGCTTAAACGCACATACTAATATGAAGCTACACATCTCAAATGTGTTCAAAACCTTTATATTTACAATGAGAAAAAAGTAACACTGCGATTGTATTTTCAATTAGTTTGCACACTATTTACAAATAAACATGCATTAAAATTTAAAAGATTTCTTTAATGATGATTTTGAACATCAATACTAAGTATAAAATGAGCAAATTAGCTCAGTCTGTCAACGCAGTTATTTCTCCTCTATCTTTTCAGAAAGAGACGGTCTGTCAAGACTGGTTGTGAATCCGTTATTATTGCCTTGGAATAAAGTCAGATTTTATGTAATATTGAAATGAGTTTAGTAACATTTATATATTGAAATTTGTATAACCAACAAGGAAATTGGGTTTCTAATAGTGATTATACGATGTAACCGCTTGTATGTGTGCTCTCGGCGACACCGGTTCTCGTACAAAGTAAGTTTGGTAGCCATTCTATTGTGTAATATAGTATTCTATGGGTGAACAGGCGTCTATAGTAAATGTATGTGTCGCTACCTCAACGCCGTGATCTCATTCTCGTTGACGTCCCAGTGACGGCAACGTTCGACAATTGCTCTATGGGTGACGGGCAACCACCCTAGTAGTAAGTGGACGTTGTGGCCCATAAACCCTTATATTTATTATTTATTTAGCATGAAACTGCAAATGGACTGTCATCTTTGACAGCTGAAAAAGAATATGTACCTCATTTCTAGTAAAAAGGTTAACCAGTTCGCATATCTCTCTATATAAAACATAGCAGTCTTATGATACAAGTGACGCTGATATTCTGTAAGAGCATGCTCACATTCTACTTAATTTTTCAACAGTTACCAGGTATAGAGCTATAGCTTCTCAGATAACCGAGTTCACCTTACGAGGTAGAGTAGATATGAAGTTGTGGACATTAGCCTGGCACAATTAATCAAAGACCATGGTGCTTTCCCTATCAAACAGACTTATTCAAGCTGCAGTTGTAATACAACTACAACATGCATTAGATGCACCAATGTTTTAGAATTAAAAGAGCAAAACTGCATGTAGAACCTTTTTAAACTTATTATGCGACAGTGCTAATCCCACTTGGTGGTAAATCACACTGGCTTAGCGTAAAAAGCCTGCATTGAAAACAGAAGAAAAACCAAATGGAGAAATAGATACTGGTAAATTATTCCACTCTTTTGCTGTATGCATTACGAAAGACAAAGCAAATTATTTTATAAAAAATATATTTGATTAATTAATAATTAAACATAAAATTATATAATTTTTATTAAAAATTTATTTGAATTTTTCTGGAAATACTATAGGCTCTTATATTATGGATCATAACTTTGTAGCTGCCAGTAAATAACTTCGGAAGCAAAATTTTATGATAAAAGAAATACACTGAGTTATTTTGCAAAAACAGGCCAAATTTGCAGAGAAGGTTTAGAATAAGTTTAAAGGATGAAGAAGAATTAATTAAAAAAAAATCAAACATTCTGCCTTTTTTATCTTAATTCAAAATGCGTGGTAATGACATTATTTTGAGTGATTTTACTGCATACTACATTCGTAAGAGTAAATCGGTAGGCAAAAACTTTTTTGTTGCCCACAAATCACATTCAATTTGGGACAATTTCAAATAAAAGTAGAATCCTTATTTACACGTATTTTCAAAAATTGCAATAACGGTTTATATATTTGAACTTTGTGTTGCTAAATGTTGTTGATGAAGCAACATTTTGATTTTTAATCGAGGATAGATGTAGGTGTCTAAGGGCCACAGCACCCACCTTATCATCACTTCATCTTTACTTCAGGACTGTATGCTTGTTTGTCACTCTTATTCTATAATAATAAAAAAGTACCATTATCTCAGCATCTGGATGCGCTCGTTTATGTGCATCTGCGGGTTCAAGTTTGATCTCAGGCTTTAGATGTTTAACATCCAGTGGTTTCTGTGCATCCAAAGGTGCTAGGAGTTGTGGCTGCGGCGCCCACGTTGGTTTGTGAATAACATCTGCTCCATATCCTTGTACTACAATATAACAGATTATTATTATATTTTATATTTATTTATGGACTTTTATCCTGTGGAATTGAAAAAAATGAGTAATGAAAAATTCAAACAATCTTACAGAAATATCTTAACTTTGTAAATGCTGGCTATTTCATTTATTACTGGTATAGCTTTCTCTATCTTATTACATATTTCAGGCATTAAGGGGATATAGTAAGTCAGTTCAAATTCTAATTTCGCCCCCACTTCCCCGCGCGTCGTATGCTACGTACCGACATGTTTGTAATCACTAATACTGTAAGTAGATAGGTCGTTAGATACTTATTTCATTAGGTTTATCATATTTATGCCTGTTTCTTAACGCCAACCCAGTCGCTTCTTATTTTTATTACGGTTATTTCCCATTTTAACTTTACGTCGTCCTGCTGCGTAATGTGTATTCTGATCGTAAGCGACACAACCTCCCCCTTCAAAGGCCGAAGCGAAACTGACGGGCAGCAAGAATCAAGCTCCAAGATGCCGATAGTTTAGGTAATTTCTTTTTACAGTGAAAATAATGGTATTTTAAAAAAAGTAAATAACATCAGCACTGCCTTAAAGTTAGTTCAGTTAGTATGTAAAGTTTCATGATCTTATTTAAAGTATTTTATGAATAACAGCGGTTTATTGTTCAGTTTGGAGGTAACTTTAAATTTTTTTTTATCGAGAAAATTTTACGGAATCGTGTTTTCGTCTAACATAATCCTAAACATTAATCCTCAACTTTACCATATATTTATTTCAAAATTAATGCTGTAATATTTTCGGCATAACGGAGGATCTTGCTAAGCCATTTGAGGTTATATTTCCCCTTAATGATAGACAGCCATTGTTATTATAATAGCTGTGAATGAACCTTGGTGTGGTGGTTGGTGAAAAAAATTTTTCATTTTCATATAATACTGGTATAGACAAACCACTTAATTGGCGGATCGCCGGCGCGCTGTGAATGTAGGCTGATGCGGGAATCGGCGCACACATAGTTAATTAACCCAAGATAGATCCCGCGATAATGTTCCGCGGACGCAATATGAAACAATGCAAATTTAACTTTATCTCGCTATGTAAATTTTTTAGTTTATTCAACTGTGAGCTGAAATAAAAAATGGGTTTGCAACATTATATTCATTTTATTTAAAATATTTAATTTATTAATTATATATAATTATAATGCAATAATATTAAAAAAAAACTATAAACTATGCCAGAACCGTGCAACTTTTAGTGCAGCTTGATGAGTCAGAATCATCTTATAAATTAATCATCATTTGATCCATAATATCATCAAGTATTTGATCATGTTGACAATATTCATGTGCAATTTTCTGGACATAGCTATCCATTTCTCTACAGAGAATTCAGCGAATTATTGCTACAGTGCAATTTATTTGTTATGCAAATTGCTATCAAGTTCATTTCTTGCAAGTTGTCCCTTGATATCTCCCCATACCAACTCAAATGTGTTCAGGTCTATGCCTTTAACACTTCGTCAATTTTATAAACATTTTCAGATATGTGTTGCTTGGTCAATGTGAGTAATCACATTTCGTTAAGGCAATATTAAAGTCCACGTTATGTCTGTGCAGCCAGGCCTGCATGTCGACTTTTGTTGACGCCATTGTGAGCTTTCTATCAATATCTGATAAGCAGTGTTATCCATGACAATCATGGAATGTGGTGGTAAAGTTGGCAATAATTTTTCTTTTGTACATTTATTAAAATTTAGAAAATTCATATCTTTAGGATTTACTTTTTGATTTAAAAATTAAAAGGGCTCCATTGTAAAATCTACCACAGCCTCCAGCGTGGACAATAATTAAATGTGGACCTTTACCAATATGTGACAGCACTCCTCTTTCTTCTGTAGACTGCCAACACGATGAAAACTTTGTGGGATGACTAACTTAACATAAAAAATATTTTTAAATTCTCAAACATGCAGGTTTCCTTGTGATGTTTTCCTTCACTGCCGAGAATGTAGTGATCGATAATTCAAATAGCAGATATTTGAGTGGTGTCCGGTGAGGATCGAATTTGGGCTGCTTACATACTATTAATTTACATTTGGATCAACACATTTAAGCAGGAATTGACATATGTAACATCGCATTCGGATATCTCCATGGCTAAGATACTATATATGGTTGATCAATCAGTAGCTTCCTTTTCGACTGACATTTCTTTAATCCAAATACAAAATTTATGCAAAATATTCTCAAATATTCTCGACTACAATTAATAATTTCATCTTCTTTAAGAACAGTATTTAAAGTGTTTAATGTTGGAACCTTATTAATATATAACGAATGGATCTCAATTAGGTATGTATTGGATAGACAACTAAAATAGAATTACAGATTCGAATATCTAGGATACAGGCTTTTATCAGTCGTACCAACTGCTGGCCTGTTAAATATTTGGCGTAGGGAAGTAACGACCCTATCGCCCGCTGGCATAGCGGTTATGTTACAAAAGTTCCCGGGTCTGGGCGTCTCCTGTTAACGGACGCCCATTAAATGGATGATGGAACACAGAAGAACGCGCAAAGAATCGCTGCCTCGAGGTCACCAGGGCGCATCTGGAGCTGGTGACCTCGAGCGACAGCATGCGAACCGCCAGTCAAGCGCGAGGTGATGCACGACCACCGAGCAACCCCTCGCATCCAACATCCCCACCAGCTGGCTTGGTGTTGGCAGGGTCTTTGCAGGTCCAGCAATCGGCACCCGCCACGGTGGAGTATGCCGCATGTGTTGGACAATGCAGATGATAGCAATGCATTGCGTGCGTATTTTAGGGCGAAGGGGGGGGGGATAATTTGGTGGTTTTGCGTACCGGGCTAGGATGCATCGACTTAACTGGAGCCATCTATAACCATCACCGAGCAAAACCTACCTTGGTACAAAACTGAGTTCAGTATACTTGCGCTCAAACATATTAGATTGGCACCGAACTCTAACAGCTACGTTGTGAGTCTGTACTCTCATCGGATGAAAATAGGGCTGAGAATGCAGCGCCACAAGTTGCAGAGTAACCCGCACACGAGGATGCTAACGTGAATCCCTAGTCTATTAGATACTCCATAGAACTTCGATCTTGTTTTCTAGCTTTAAAGAAAGAATAAACGTTGTACACCATTTGTTTCGCTTTACTGTACATTTTTTTACCAAAAAATCTGATGGCGATTCATCTTGGCATTGATTGTGGTACTTTAATCTCGTGTGTTTTGTGCCAAACGTCCATGACAGATATAATCAACTGTTCACTGGGAGAGACAAGTAAACTGCCAAACATGAAATGAAAAATATTCCCTGCAGCCCGCCCCCGCATTACTGCCCTGTTTTTTTGTTTTATTTATAGGATAGGGTGACAAATGAGCACACAGTCCATCTGATGGTAAGTAGTTGCTACGGCCCATAGACATCTACATCCACCCTCGATTACAAATCAAAATACATTTTTTTTATTAACTGGCTTTACGGCTCCGGGTTCTAGCCCTTCTGAGAATTTTTTCTCCTTTCGGAATCTTCATTTTATATTCTTTTTCTTCACAATAAGCTGATACGTCACATAGCGATGCCCTTGGGATATTTTGACGACAGCTCAACCTAGCAGACAGTTGATGACGACTCACTTTCACGCATTACTTTTACGAATCAAAATCCACTTCAAACCATTATTCAAGCGACAAAACAGGAGTGAAAATCCGTCTACGGCCAAGTTCCCTCTAAAACTCATCAAGCGAGGAATCGGTGAGTTGAGTATGTCAATCGAACAAGAGCTGACAAATGTGAATTGATCAAATCTGTTAAATGATATTATAGAAAGATATATGTTAGGTATATAAATGCAATAATGTCTACTTTACCTTATCATTCGAAAAGATGCTAGGCTCGCTGTGTTCGCATAATATTGCACTTATTATACCTTATAAATATATACAAACAAACATTTGCTAGACTTCGTTTTAGCACTTGCAATCACATAAAAATTAAAAAATAAAATGAAGTTATAATAATTATTGAGGAGTATTTTTGTGCTTTTTATTATTGTTACAATATTGATTGCACCCTTGGATGCTGTTTATTTTTGCATGTTATGGATATGGGATTTTGTTTAACTAATATTCATTATATTTTCAACACTAATTAGTTTTATACGAACATTATGATTCAACAAGATATCGAATAACTGAGATAATCATTCCATGCAGATTTTACGGATTGATACAGTTTAAACTGTTTAGCTGCAGCTTTTTTACTGTCCGATTGCAACCAGTTCAACTACAACAGTTACCATGGAGAAAGTTCTTTACCTATAACAGAATAAAAAGAACTTACAAAAAGCTCAAGAAATGCAGAATTCAATTACATTAATAATAACTTACTCAATTGAAGTGCAACAGGTAAAAAAAAAAGATTAATTTTAGAAATCTAGCTGAAAAATCCTAATATTTTTTTATTTTCTTTTATAGTATCGCAAAATCATTTAATTTCTATATATTTACTGAACAATAATTGAAAAACATGATCTACGCTATCCAAAATAACTTTACATAAATACTAAGTTTTTTTATGTAAAAATATCTAAAATATCGACATACTCTGTTGTACATCCTCTCTGATCTCCCAAATTTATTAAAAATTTATTTTTATATTTATGAGATATATTTTATTAAAATAAATAATATATAATACAAAAAAATTGTGAAAAACCGACACACAAAGACGAAATTTTCGCGTGTCAAATTCATCATATAAAACAACATTACAGACTTTGAATTCAGAAAACTTGTAGATATATGAAAAGGAAGCATCTTGAGGATTATTTTCATATATTATAATACTAATACAAAAGTTTTTTATAAACACATTATTACTTACATTTTAAACACAGAACTACTGGCCACTATGCAAAACTTGACACGCTTGTTTCTTTTCTTTTTTTTTCAATGGTATTTATTACCTGGCATAGACCTTTTACTAACCGATAGACATGTTTTTTAATATAGAGCCATCTAGTGCAACATTCATTAAGCTTTTGTAACTTTCCATGGATAAAAAGTAATTTAAAGTGTAGAAGTCAGCGAGGCCACTCTAGTCGCCTTAATGTTCAACCGGAAAAAATATTAGGCGACTATGGTCACCCGGGCATTTGAGTGGTTAGTAGTACTAAACTATAATAGACATAGAGCTAATAGAACTAATAGAACAAACTAGTTCACTGTCAGCAATGAACTAGTATGGAGGGATCTTTAAAATGACCGAGCAGACACAAGACTACCTGTAATGCCCATTTATCACTCCCTCCTACAAACTTCTTACCCTCAGGGCAATCTGCCAATTAAGTGGTTTATCTATAGTTGGCAGTACTGCTTATGTGTTCTGAATTTGTCCTGTGCAGTGTTAAGGTCAGTTTTTAGTTATATTTAACAATATAAGATGAAATGCAAGAGTAACAACACTAATCTGGTTCCTTGTTTGATTACAATAACATTTATGTTATTTGAATTTTAAACATCTTTTGCTTTCTTTTTATATACAGTATTACTTATCACTAAATATTTCATTGATAAAAGTCAAAAAATATATAATATAAATAAAATAAATACCCATATGTGACTGTGGCATATGTAATTGAGCCTGCGGAGGTTGCTGAGGTGGGAAACTCTGGTGATGAGCATAGTTTTGGTGTGCAGGTGGTGCATATGACAGATTTTGTGGGGCATAACCTCCAGGTGGAGGAGGTCCATATGCTGCAAAAGCGTCAGGTGGCGGATAATGTGTATTATATGCACCCGCATACGGCTGATAAGGTATCTGATGACCATTGTCTACAAAAAAACAACAAATTATTCAAAAGTTATTTTCATAATAATTTTTCCCGCTCAAATGTAACCATATTGTAGATACCTATATAATTTAGCGGTAATCCATTTCCCTGGACAACACCGTGCCCCGGTTCACCCTCCATCCTCAACCGTTTTTGATTCATAGCTCTTTCTGCCTCATAGTTCATCTTGGACACTAAAAACAGAAACCGCTTAGAGTAGATCCGTGAGATATCGTACAAAAACCCTTTTGCACGCCTACATCTCAACAAAATAACACTTATTAGACAGTTTTGTGATAACTATGACAGACGCCAACCGGACGCCAGCATTAAACACAGGTTATACGGTCCGTAAAAGCAAACACAGCGTACCTTTGTTGGTCACTGATTATTATTGATTTTAGTTATTACTAGAACTTGAAACCTTTACAGTATAATAACACATAATAGAACACAATATTATGTCAAAATAACTGTTGCATACGAAATATGCATCAAATTATCAATTTTAATGACAGTAAAATTAGAAAAAAACACAAGTGGAGCGTTCATATATTTTTTATACTTAGTTCCTTTTTTTTTTGCATATGGTAACTCAGGCGTAGAAAAGCATTTTAAGCATTCTCTTGGTAAAACGTACGTTATTATATACTCTTACTTTTTATACTCTTATTAGCGTAGACCGAGTAGTTAAAGTATATAAATATTAAACAAAATAATACATAAACCCATACGTAAACTTACATATCAAAAATTATTGAATACATGCATAGTATTATAATATATAAATTATATAAATAAAAATAATAAATTACGTACATTATATTATTATATAGAAACATAAATAAATACCACTAATGAGATTATTCTGCCAGTTTATTTATGTAATGTTCGTGAACTTTCTTTTCGAATGCATAAGGATTATTAGCCGATCTAATTTCAAGAGGGAGTGCATTCCGGAAGAGAACACACTGTACAGTGAAGAAAGAAAGCAGGAAGGATTTATGAGACGGATACTTTAGTAAAAGATTATTCGAAGAATTTCGAAAGAAGAAGAACGAAGATTGAAAATGAATCGAATGTAGTTATTAAAAAGTCGATCATATATGTCAAAAAGGTCTGCATTCAGGTCAAAATAATACACATCACCGTAATCAAGCAAGGGCAGAATTAAGGATTGCACAATTAATGTTTTGGTCCCGGATGGAAGAAAGTTTTTCAGGCGGTAAAGAGCCCGCAGTGTACCGGTGACTTTTTGGCTAACATTTTTCAATTGAAGTGGCTTGTATATGTGCAATATGAAGGAGTTTAGAAGAACGGGGTGAGATGGGAACCAAGAGGTCAGTATTGAAGTCACCCATGATGATGTGATGCGTGTATTCCGAACCTAAAGATTCCAGAGTCGTCTCGAGACTGGAAAAGTAATCAACAAAAGGAGGACTATAAACAACACCTAGAACCAATTTTGTTCCCTTCACACTTGCCTCGAGAAAAAGCAACTCTGCAGAGGCAGAATAGGAGGATGAGGAGGAGGCTAGGATTTTATAAGAAAAGACAGAGCGGAGATAAGTAGCAACACTAACCCCTCTTCTGTCCACACGATCATTGCGTATTAGAGTAAAACCAGAGAGACGATAAGTGGTCGAAAGAAGATGAGGTTTGAACCAACTCTCATCTCCAGAAATCAAAACGGAATGAACGTTAGCATCCGAGAAAGCTTCAATTAGGTCGCAGTAGTGACTGGGTACGCTTTGTGCATTGACATGACACACGTTCAACAAAGAGTGCGTGTGATTAAACGTATGTCGCACGAAATCACCAAGTTCAGTTAAGAGCAAAAAATATTGTTACTAGACGATGTAACAGATTCATTAGTAGAAAAAAAAGAATCTTCATCAGAAGGCATTAATATAAAAATAATACAATAAATATAATATAATATATAAAATATTTGCAATAATTAATAAACTATAAAATTATGTCGGATAAATAAAAATGTTCAACACTACTATCTCTGCAGCACACACCAGCTGGCACACACACACGTTGGCGAAAAGTTCACTATACAAATAGATATAGAATCGTAGACAGAGAAAACTATAGACACATTGACGCCTTCTTTCGCATTCGCACACGAAAAAGATAGATTTATGCATACGTCTTGCATAGAAATGAGAAAGAGCGGTGTGATTGTTTGTCCCTTTCACCGTGCCGGTTTTTTTATTTAGCAAACTACACTTTGCTAAACAACTTTGACAGTTCGTAGTTATCTAAGGAGTTTACAAGTTGGTTTAAATGAGAAAAAAGTGTTTTGTGAGCTTAAGATTGGTGAATCTAGTTCAGTTCAGTTCTTAGAAAAATTAAAAAAATTATTTAAATATGTTTAAAAGTCATAAAGATTATAGTATAACCTTAAACTACGTTAAAGTCCTTTCTCACTCGAGGCCACGCTAATCATTAGTCTATAGGTTTCTCTGTCAACATATAGAATAGAATAAACATAAGAAAAAAAAATCGAAATATCTAATTAATACTCAACATTAAAAATAAAAGATAATGCAAATTTCAAAGAAATTTTGCTACTAATGTCAAATTGATAAGTTTAACAACAAATTTTTCATAACAATCTTAATGAGTTTGACAATAAAATTTTGTTAGTTAGTTCGCTAAATTACCTATTACATATTACCTCAAAAAGTTAATACTAATAATGACAAACATTGTTCAAGTTATATGTTAAGCAAATAGTTTATAATAATAGTAGGTCAATGATAATACACATAAAAATTAAAACAAAAAGAAAAGAAATTTAATTGAGTCTGATAGTAATTGCAGATTTGTTAATTTAATATCATATATAGTAAATACTACCATATGAACTATCAAGTATAGTTATCATAAAAATCACAAGGTAAAATATAGAAACAACAATAAGTAGATAGTGATAAAAACATATCTAAGACTAAAAATATATAAACTAATATCCTTAAGACTAAAAACATAGGTACTCCAAAATAAGAATATATTTATATGAAAAAAAAAATACAGCTATCATTGACATATGAGGAAAACTTATCTTATCATTAAAATTAAAAATCTTTGAATTTTGATCAGCAGCTATTATTTCCGAGACTTAGAGTTCAAGCTGGATACTCCCTGATTACTGGTGATGCTTTTACCTCCACCTGAAGATACCGTTGCTGCCTTAAGATATTTCAGTGTAAGAGAGTTCAGCTCATCCATTGTGATTATCTTGTACCTGGTCGCATCCGAAGGCTTAACCACTTATATGCCATCCTGAGTCCAGCATGCTCGCATACCAAAATGCAGCAGAGCTTTGCTAAAAACAGTCTGTCGTGACTTTGTCAGAAACTCTGTCACTGAAACGGTTTGTGATGAATAATAATCATTACATTAAGATGTGTAGTGGATTTGGTCAAATGATTTAAATATTCAGCTCAATACCAACACGATTCCGAATATATTGTTACGAGCTTGAGGTTTATGACAATAAAATTTAGAATCATCCAGAATATTCCCGTAGATACGGGCGCCGACCGACCAGACGCAGAAAGTTCAAGTGTGAGGCTTCTAGAAAGCTTAGTTCTTCAATTCGATACTAGATGGCGCTAATGCCAGACGTCAACTTAGGCGCGCAACAATATTATTATTTAATATAATCGATAACTAGACTTTATCAAAATATTATCATACTAATATTATAAACACGAAAGTTTGTAAGTATGGATAGATGGATGGATGGATGTTTGTTACTCTTTCACGTAAAAACTACTGAACAGATTTAGATGAAATGTTATAGTAATATAGTTTATACATCAGAATAATACATAGGCTACAATTTATATAGATTTTGTGTAATTTGGCCATAATATAACGATAAGTATCAAGTAAGTTGGAAAAATTCTTGACCTCTGAGAGCTATCTTGCCGTACACTGCCTAAACCGTTGGAGTTACACGAAGATAATATACCGTGGGATGGTTTGTCTTAAGTAGTTCGAAATAAAAGTCCACGACAGCATATATCTACCTTTTATGTGGAAGCCATTATATCCAAAATAGTGAGCCATAAATACAATTAAATTTGATACTTTTTTCAATGCACATTTTAGAGTATTTGTCAAATTATTACAAAAATTGATACATTTGTCGCTTTCAGTATTTAATGCAGATGAACTTTGTCTTTTACACAAAGTAATTTGGACGAATAGTTTAGAAGTTATCACAATAAGATTGACATGAATGGAGCACCAGCGCATAGCTGGGGTGGAGGGGCGGACCGGGCAGACCAAGCAATCACGCCGTCACGCGCGATTACCGAGTGCACGATCCGAACGCGGGCAGACGCGAAGGGCAGACGTCGTTGACGGTCATGTTTAGTTTGCGTGCTTTCTTGCAGCTAACTCGATTTTCGAAGAGATTTATTATTTAGTAAGTAGGTGGGCATAATTATTATTTTTATTTAGTATAATTTAAGTAGAAATATATTTATTTTGATTTTTTAATTAGATTTTTGTTTTAATTTCAGTTGGATAACAATTCTTTTATTTTTGTTTATTTGATTATGTATGCACGACGCAAGCGACAAGATACCTGCTTAGTGTAACCAGCACTGGTTGAGCAACTCAGGGGCGGTGGGCGGAGCCACGGGGGTCGCGACCAGCGAGGTTCGACAACTAGCGAGGGTGCATACAATCACACAGAAAAACAGCCGTAGTCTTGGTTATTGTATTTAATTTGTTAAATATGTATAACTTATATTAATATAAGATTTAGAATAAGATAATAAAGAAAGAATGATGTTGTAACTATGCAAATAACTCTCCCAATAAAGGCATCGAATAAATAACGAGAGTTAGCATAGATTTAAAGTATAAATTGTACTCTTATAATTAATTTACCTTTGTTGCATATCACCTTTATTGTATACATATTACCATTCATAAATTACCTTTCTTAAGATAATTATAACTTTATCAGGGCATGTTATTGTGATGCGGCCGCGGAATTAATGAAGCTACGCGTAGGGCGTCACGACGTTTTATATTTATAGTGCTGAGGTGCGGGGAAGGGTTCTCAGCTTAAAAATTGTAAATTACAAGGTTTAAAACCTTTTAGAGTGTAAGATAATTATTGTGTACATAATAGTATAAGAATTAGATGTAAA